ACTGATTACTACGGTAATCATAACAATTAACTGATTACTAATCTCTATATATAAAAGGGAAATTTGTGATTATGTGTGTCTGTTCAAAATGCTTAGCGTACTTCCCGACATGCAACAAACTTGAAATTTGCCATGTGGGTACTTTCCAGACTGTACACCATGCAAACATTATAAAAATACACTTTAGTTTTTTTGGGGGGGGAGGAGAGCTCAATAATGCATATTTTTTTGCACGGCAAGTGAGCTGTGACGTCACATCTATCATGTGACCCGCGCATGTGGAAGCGTAACGCAGTGTGCCTGCTCATGTCACGCCCCCCCACCAGCCTCCGTGGCGCGAGTAAAGTGCCAAACAAATGTGTTGCATTGCTTTATTATTTCAGTCGTTTACTGCCGTATGCACCCAGAAAGTTGTGTGTGTCTGCAGCAAGCGCATGTATGAGTACCTATGGACGCGCGCGCGCGTGTGTGTGTGTGGAGGGAGCGGTAGTGTAGTGGTTAGCGCGCTGCGCTACTGAACCCGGCGACCCGAGTTCGATTTCCGCTCACGGCCACCACCGGTGACGATTGTTTGAACTGATCCTGGGCCCTCCCCTAGGTCGAATCAGCCTCAAACGAGTAACTGGTGTGGTGTGTGAGCATCACCACAGGGGAGACAAAGGCGGCCGGGCGTGGTAAATCCAAGTCCCGGGTAGTAAAGCTAGCTATTATATAATTACAATACCTCTCCACCTCTGATCTCTGCACCTGATTGGGTTAAATGATGACGTCACCCTGCTGCTCTATTTAAGACCATTCTGGCAAATTGCCCGATGATGCTGGATTTAATTACCAGCGAAACGTCGTACTCAAAAATTGTAAATGTTGTGGATTCACTCTTCAACACACCGGTGGGCTAAAGTAGTGAACTATTTGTCTTTTCTTAACGTGACACATTTTTTGCTGATTGGCCGTGTCGGGTGGTGGAGGGTTGCGACACATTTATAAATAACGCGATCTAACCCAAAAACCTTTATTATGAATAATATTGGTCGCGAAAGCCTTCGTGTTAAATACCAATGCACGTAAACATTTTTCTAGGAAAGGATATTTTTGTTAGTTTCAAAGAGGGGCAATGTTTTTCATTTTTCGATATTTTTGTTAGTTTCAAAGAGGGGGAAATGTTTTTCATTTTTCGATGAGCATCGTGACAAAAAGTATAATAGGTCGGAATTTAGAGGCACATATCACATTATAAGGATGTCATAAACATACACCAGCCAATATAAGAAAATTGTATAATTTCAGTTACCGAAATGCCAATGAATATCACCACCATGTGTGCAAAAGTGCTGTCATGCCTCAGAGACATATTTTGTGACCTTAGAAGCAGGGAATGAAATATCAAACGTGACAGCCTATGTAGCACGATAACAAGATTTTAAGTGTTCGTTGGAAAATTCATTTGCATGAGGATGGCTATGCAATTCACCGTGACCTCGTGATATTGTCAGCATTAACTCAACCAAGCACTCGCGATAGTTGTACTCACACCCTTTTTTATTCCGCTTATTCTTCCTGTAAGCCTGACTGAAAGAATGACACAGCTAGCTACGTGGTATCACCAAAATCAGCTGATTTGATCAGTCTTCCCTTGTCCCAAAGGCATCCTCACACCCTCCGTATTTACATGAGAGGTGAAACGCATTCACTGCAAAGTTGAAAAACGTAATTAATTCTCAAATCAATTGTGCTCCTGAATCACACAACGGCAGGAGGAGGGGGTGATTTCTCACACCCCTAATAAGAATACCCTTTTAGTGGAGCGAAAAAAAGCATGTTTAAATGTACGTCCACTTGCTTTCTTTGAAATGTACTCATTCTTAACATTTCATTAGAGACGACTACAGTATTACAGTACTTGAATTTACACATTGCTGGCTTCAATGCAGACCTAGGTGTCGCAATTGCACGAATGATACCTCTTTACAAAATTTAATTTGTGAACATGGCACTGTTGTACTATCTTTGACTTGAAATCAGTGTCGGAGCCCTCTCCGGCATCAACATTAGCTGCCCCGCCCATCTCTAAACCTTTATAAACAGCTTGCCCTCAGAGGCTAACCTCCCTGTTCCTGATGACGACCGCTTGTGTTGCGATCGAAACGTCGGGATATTTTTTATTAACTTTATTTTTATTATTTATTGTTATTATTTTTTCTATCGACGTGACTTCGCCGAAAGAACCATAGAATTTGAAATCACAACTCTCTGCCTTGACACAATGAAATGTCTGCTTTTGAGCTACCCATAATGCTGCAGTTTTCTGATGTCTCTCTAATGGCCCACCCTGCAGCTGTACATTTAAAAAACAAAAAAATATCCCTGAGCACATTTGAGACATATTTATCAAACAAATATATGTGCATTCTTGCAAAATGCGTGAAACGTTATTTTACAATACCATTTTAAAAAGAGGGAGCTAACTGCAGGAAGGCATTGGCCCCTCTGTGAGTTGACTGGCTTTACCTTGTCTTTGCTTTAAATGGCCACTCAAGAAATGTCATGCGGCCTATTTATGTTAAATATTTAATTTACAATGCCTCCAATTGCTGGTGACATGACTGTTACTGTGTTAACTAATACAGCCAATTTGAGTCAGTTTTAACCCCAAGTAATGAAGGTTTTTAGAATGCCAGTTCAAATGTTAAATATAGAGTAAAAATATTTCGATTCAATATGCAGATTTTAGTCAATTACAACTTGTTTATTATACCTACAGAAGTAACATCGGATTTAATTTAAAAATGAAATTAAAATGTTCTTGAGAAAGCCTGGGTGGAGATAATGACCTATAGAATATAATTAACTCGGCATTGAAAGGGAAAATGTGAACACAAAGAGGAAACTAGGTAGCTTCGAAGAGATAGAAGACACCTCAGCACATCTCTTAGTAGTTTAATCCAAACATGAGTAAGAGCATCACTGCCGTGCTGGCAAACAGTACACATGTGAAAAATATCTTCGTAAACATTGATCTGCAATGAGATTTGCAGCTCTTGCCAGGATTAGCTCTAATTGGGGCTCCCCCTGAGAATGGGTTGCAGGCTCATTTAGAAGTTAGAATATTGCCCTTTAGATGACTGCCTCCAGACCCAATTGTGAATGCAGGTTTAACAACATAAGGAGATTTTCGCTGGTGTTCTTGTCAGATTTAAATTTAATTAAATCCGTACATTTGATAATTAAGACCTTTATCCCAACATGCTGCTGCTGAGAATTCTTCAACAACATAATTTTAAAAGATAATGATATATTTAAAGACGAACTTAAGTCTAGAATGATGTTTAAAATTAAGAATGTTGCGTCTTGTTAGAAGTTTAAGAGCTTCCATAAACGTACATGCTCACACTGACTCAGAGTTCCTCATATTCCAAAAACACATTCTGCTAACATTCTCACTTTAGTATGTTTATATGTATATATGTGAATAATCTTTGTTTTTTTCGGTAAAGTCACGTAGGTAAAATAAAATAAATGAAAACAACTAAATTAAATCATGACGTTTCGGAGGCAACACAAGCTTCCGTCTTCAGGTGGAACAGTCACAGCAAAAAAGCTGTATCAACACTTGATACAGCTTTACCGAAAAAACCAAAGAGTATGAATCCTTGCAGTCACGAAAGCTTCAAATCTAGAATATATGTGAATAGTCGGAAATGTGCAGTTTAAATACATTATTTTTAAATGTTATTTAAAATGTATTGTTTAAAAGTAATGTCAGAGGCTCTGAGCATTTGCGTATCCATTCTATTTCGGCTAGCGGATGATTAACCCACACAAAGAAATAATTACAGGCTCTCTAGGGTTGCCTGGGCAGCCAGTGGTGGCTGGAAGGAGCACACATCTTTTCTCGTTTGTCACTCAGCATGGGCAACGATGGTCATGCAAAATAAAAACTATTCACAGCTTAGTCCATCGACATTTTTTTTGTTAATGGCTTTTCCTTCATTCCTCTGTGGCGAGATTCTCGTTTTTAGGCACATCCTATTCAATGTGAAAAACGTACTCTCGTAGACAAGGTACAAAAGGCTATGGCGCTATTCGAAGCTTATCATTGGGAGAGTGTAATATGATGCAAGCTGTGCAGTACGTGGTTGCTTAAAATGTCCACGTGCCATGGGAATAAATAATGAAATGCAACTCTGATCCCAGGTGTTGGTCAAGTCAAGTTTATTTGATTAAAAAGGTGAGAACTCAAAGAGAAAAGGATACATAAGGGCATGCGGTCTACAGCCATAGCTATGGGCATTGTGGATGCATCATGTACTTTATATCCAGTACACAACGTTGACGAATTCTACCTTATTTGCCCCAAAGCTATACAATTTAACTTCCAACTCTGTTATCAAGGTGACCTGTAAACTGATTACCCTCGCAGCGGCTTTTGACTGGCTATCAAACAAAGATGGTCACTGCATCGCGCTTTCAGTTGAGATTTTTCGGCCGTCTGGAACGCTCTTTCAATATTAGGAAGCCACTAGAGATATACACTTTTAAATCTAGATTAAAAACTCATTTATTTAGAACTGCTTTTTGTGCTTAGTTTGTGACCCATCACCCGCACCTCCGATTAGCACGGTTGACTATGTACGGTGAGAAAGAAGTTCAACATACATACATACATGATCACATGCATGATTAACATGCCATTTGTCTGTACTAATTCGCGATAGTTTTTCCTAATGCGGCACTTAAGAAATTGTTTTAATCTACTTCCTGCTAAAACATTTATTGAAGAAGAGTAGAAAACCCGTGGTGTACTATGTTTGAAACAAGAATAGTTTTACAATTTGTTGGTGACAAATAAAAAATGAGTTCGAATTTCAGCACAATTGAGAGCACACTTCAAATTAGTGTCGTTCTCCCTTGAAAGAGAGCGTGAATGCAGTGCTGATTTAGTATGCTTATTTAACACTTAACATTCATCTACATTCTAGTACGTGTCGGCAGGACACAGTGCTGCTGTGTCGTGGTCTCTGGCTCAAGTGTCGTCTTCTGCCCTCTGCTGACTCCACGGGTGGCTTAATTGAAGAGGATAGAAAACCCTTGAGCGAAAAACACCCCTCTCACTGAATTGATGCTTGGTAGAATCCACGTATTGAAATTACCGTCAGTCAATAAAACCGTAAGTGGCCCAGCCCGTGCAAGTTTCACAATTTAGCACCTCAAGAAGAACGGCTCGCTCCGACCTGTCTCGTCACAAGTGAGGCGCTATGGGGATAACCAGTGCCTTAGTGTGCCTGAGCATCTTTGCGGCAGCAGCTGCCGTTTGTGGGTGCATCAGTGGCCTGCTGCTGGCGCTGAGCGCTGCCGCGGTCGCGCTCGTGGTGAACTCCTCGGTCCTCACCCGCGCTCCCCGCGTCCTCCTGCGCGGCCGGGCGGTGCTCATCACGGGCTGCGACAGCGGCTTCGGCTTCGAGCTGGCGAGGCGTCTGGACGGCATGGGAGTCCGGGTGCTGGCCGGCTGCCTGCAGCCAGACGGAGAAGGGGCCCGGGAGCTCGCGAGCAAGAGCAGCGACCGCCTGCGCGTCCTGCCCTTTGATGTCACGAGCGACGAGCAGGTGCAGGAGGCTCGTGCAGCCGTCACCCGCATGGGTCGGCAGGCAGGTGAGGTGCGGCCCCGCGGGTGGACAGGATGCTACAGAACGCGTGATAAGTTGCGCGCATATTTTCACCCTTTTTTGCCGCGTGAACGTGCAAATAAAACCAAAGTCCACGCCGAAAAAATAAGTGTGCTTTCAAAGTTTTAGGACCGCATGCAAATGAAAGGTTTATAGGACATTCAATGTAAGATTGAATAACATTTGACAAGCAATTATCAGGCTCCAGTTATAATTTGTTCTGTTCCATGATGCATATGCATACGTCCACAAATAAATGTTTTTATATTACCACGAGAAATAACGGTTGGGTAGCAATATATTGCACCTATCTCGGGAATTAATTTCTCACTCTTTATTTTTAAGCATGCTGCTAGGATGGTGAATAGTGATTGTCAGCATAATGTGTGTATGTTGAAGTTATTTTGCACGGTTTCGTAAATGTTTCATCAGGAAGTAGATCAACTATCCCGATTTAGTATTTAATTTGGTAGTCCATGGATGCATTGTTTTTAAAATTACAGACAAATTGCATGTTAATAAACTTAGTAATCAAATGAACCTTATGGCAGGACCTCGGGGTCCCATAAGCCCCCGGCTCTCGCATAAACATCTTATATATAAAGTCTCTGCACACGCGCGCTTACGAGGGATTTGGCTCTCAAACGGTGGGGTATATGTAGAAAAAAATGCGTCGAGCAGCACGCCCTAAGCCCCGTGCTTTATATTATAATTACGAAAACAAAAACTTTTCTCTTCTTCACCAATGGGTTTGAAGGATGGTGGAAAGTGTTGTCTTGTTAAACTATGCCTTTAAAACTGATAAACTACTTCCCTGCGGTACCTCTATTTAAATACACTTTCGAAAAAAAATATTTACACCGCTCTGTCAATCATCGTGTTTCTCTGTGTGCATTTGTGAACACACTTTGTAAACAGTACATAAAATAGTACGCGTTTTCAATGCGCTGTTCATATTGTAATAAGCGTTTATACCAATGTTACTCTACAGAGTAGTGGGTCGCCGCTCCTCTTATCCGCATTGATACGAGCGGTATGTGGGGACTATGGCTTAACCGCAAAAAAACTATCTGCACAGATGCGGACAAGGTTATCAAACAGTAGGAATTAACGGTGCAACGAATCTCATCTGTTAAATATCTGCAGGTAATACGATTGTCATCGATTGATCCTGGCTGCAGACATTGGTAGGTCACAAATAATAATGAAGATAAGAGAGCAGTTTCACTGTATTATTATGCATACCGTTATGATAAATAAAGGACTTAAGTCGTGTAGGCAGTTTGAGCAGCATTGGATAATCCTGCCCATACCCGAGCATGGAGTGCATTCGCTTGTTCAGCTCTTCTGCGCATTCGTCCTCGCTGAGGCCTGGACACGACAACAGAATGATCCGTGCCAGGTGGGTCGCGATGTTTATCTGCGCGATGGGACGGAGCAACCAAAATAAAATAATTAATTACGATTTAGACATTATACGGGGCCCCGGGGTCCTGCAAAAAGGTTTATACATGTATGTTAAAATTATTTCACACCGTACGTAGCCAACCGTGCTAATCAAATGCAGAACGCAAAAAATAACACACTACCACTAGGACACAATGTACTTTTATCCAGAAAAATAATGTAATAAATTATTCCTGAATATCTAGTGTACAACTCTGATGTATTTTATTAGAATTGTGTAAACATTCCTAAGGGCAGAAGCTACATAATTCCGTCAATTTCCAACAGTGCAGCCCATTAAATTCCAGCAAAAAGTGAAGGACTAATCCTATCAACTTTTCTCAGATGTTTCCTCATCTTATAACCGCACCTGACATTTGTCCTGCAGCCACCTAGAATTTGTCCAAAATCAAGTGAGGCTTCGAAAATTCCAAAAAATCCCTGAAAATGTATTCTCGCAGCTTATCTTTCTCTCAGAATTTAGTTTGGAGTCTAAATAACCGTTCCTCCCAGCCAGCCAGCAAACATTTTAATCTTATATAGAGCCCCGTCTCTCTCCACCTTTCTCTTGCCTTCCCTGTACAGTATATCTAAATTCATTCCACAATGTTATCCCTCCCTCTCATATTCTTCTCGTCCCTCCACTGTATCTCACCCACCTCCATTTCCCAGATCTCTCACCTCTCACCCTGGCTCTCCTTATTCCCACCTCTCCCTGAGTTCTCTCCCTGGCCAGTTAACATCAACGGCGTGTGGATATTCGACAACCTTCGCCAACCTACCACCAAGCCACACCGACCAGCGTGGTCAATATTGTTCAAACAACCCCCGTGACTGGCATCACGTAGGAAGGCCTTCATCCCTCATTGCATCTACAGAGGAATGTACATCATTATTATTATTATTATATGGGTAAGCCTATTAAATAATACAGCAGCAACAGTATATAAACTGAGTATCTTGAAAAATGTTCAAGTTCCCATTTTTAACGATGAGGCAGAACAAAACAAACAGTGGACAGCAAAAGTACTTTTTGCTGCTTCATACCATTTATTCTTCAATTACTCAGACCTGTGGGCTGTGGTGAACAACGCGGGCATCACACATTTGGGTGAGGTGGAGATGTGCAACATGAACTCGTACCAGCGAGCGGCCAACGTGAATCTGTGGGGCACCATCCGCACAACGATGGCCTTCCTGCCACTCGTAAAGGCCAGCAAAGGTGAGCACGCGCTCCGTGTTTGTTGGAACTTAACAAAGGTATGTATCAGAAGCGCCAACCTTGGATTGGGTTGTTACGGCACAGCACGCAGGTTGATGGTATTGCAGTAATTATTTTATTACACAGGGTTATGGTTTTACAGTGCAGCTCACACAAAAAGACAAATACACTAACAGATACGAATACATTCACACACAGACAAGGAAACAGAGATGAAAATAAACACTCACACATGGAAACACACAAATACAAGGATACTTCAAATGGCCTTACCACACTTTTGGAGCAGTATTGATAGCGAGCACCTATGATGGCCGGAACAGCACATGAGGGAGTGGCCAGCACCACGCCCAACCGCCTTTGTATCCCTAGTGGCAATGTGTACACACCGCACCAGGTACTCATTTGAGGTTGAGTCTATCTAGGGGATGCCCAGGACCGGATCAGATAATTGTTGCTGGTGGTGGCATTGAGCGGGCATCGAAATGGGGCCTCTGGTTTCGTAGCACAGCATGCCAACACAGACACAGAGATACGCACAGAGACAGACATTCACGGAGTTGGGTAAATTCTCGTCACGGATTCTGGTGCCATGTGTGGTCAGGTTTCTTCTGAAAAAGAGCAATATAGGTGAGTTGGCCTCAAGTGGTAAAATAAAACAAAAAATTGGGAAAAAAGGTGTGTGCCGTGGAGTGAAAAAGGTTTAGAAGCACTGGAATTCACACCACCAGCATGACTGGCACGCACGGGTCAGGTGACCTTCAGTTTGACCACGTTATAGATTTCTGGTCCAGACAATTTTACACACGAGTGGGGGACTGCATTTTTTTAATTTTTTCAAATTAATGTAAGACTCGTCATGAGCTTATATCCATCTTGTTATTTAAATGAAACATTTAGTGTCATATTATTCATTAAAAAAAGCAATGTTTATGTTTCACTATTTTGTTCTGCGATCAACCTGTTGTGGATTGTAACCCATATTTTGAGAACCGCTGGTGTAAATCATTGCCTGTTCCACCAAATTCCATGGTTGATCTAAAAGTATCAGGAATTAGGATGAAAATGATTAATTTGACCAAAGTGAATGGACAACACTGAGCAGTAAAACCTTAACTGGAATACTTCTATTCTTTGGGTCTTTCGGTAAAGTCACGTAGAACACAAAAATTTACAAAAAACTGCAACGATCGCAACACAAGCAATCGTCATCAGGTACACGAATGTTAACAAATATTAGTAAAAAATACAAAGATGAGTAAATGTTTATATTTGTCCAAATGGAATTGTTGTCTTATCTGTCGTTTAGTTATCTGCATTCTTGTCTCGTGTTTGATGTAGGACGCATCGTGAACATGTCCAGCATATCGGCCCATCTCCACACACCTTTCAACAGTGCCTACTGTGTTAGCAAGAGTGGCGTGGATGCTTTCTCCAACTGCCTGCGCGTAGAAATGAAAAAGTGGGACGTGAAGGTATGGAAATGGCATTTAAAGACCATTCGTAGCATTTATCCTATGCCCTTTACAAATGTAGCTTCAGTTCCATCAACTTCAGGATTTAGTAATATGTTTTTACCCTTTTATCTGGCACAAAAACTACCACCTTTATACAAGGGATCATGTTTGCAATAACCACAACACAAGTAGTCAAAATGCAAACAAAAAAGACAACTCCGATAATATGCACTGTCCTTGAATTTGATTGGTCCACACCCGAGACGGCTTTTCTTAGAGCCTAGTCTCCACTGGTGTTGGACCAGATGACGCCAAAAGGCGTCTCGGGTGTGGACCAATCAAATTCAAGGACAGTGCATATTATCAGAGTTGTCTTTTTTGTTTGGATTTTGACTACTTGTGTTGTGGTTATTGCAAACATGATGCCTTGTATAAAGGTGTCAGTTTTTGTGCCAGATAAAATGGTAACATCCTATTACTATATCTTGTTACTGGCAAAGGTCTCATAATGTAAGAACTTCAGGATTCTTCGTGTGTCTTTGTACACAATCCATTGTGTGAGGTATTACTATAAATGTAAC